CATGAATCGTCAAACGGGATTCCTTTTTCGCGCAACCATTGCTGCATGTCACTTTTTCGAGATCCCATAGTCGTTACACGTTCGGCTCGATGACTATGGTAGGAAGCATTATCCATGACGATCACAGAGTTGGGCTCAACTCGCTGAAGCACCCCTTGAAACCAGCTCTCGAAGCAGCTGGCAGTCATTTCGTCATGGTAATCACCTCCTTTCTTAGAGACGAAAATCAAGTCACCCTCTTCTAAAAAGCCACTATCGCTACCAATATGAGTTACGATCAATCTTTGACCTTTCCCTGACGGTCCACGAAGACCTGTTGACAAATCTTCAATGCTTGCTTGTCGGTTACTCACTACGTTTTTGTCTATCCAGGTTTTTTTAACTGTGTGACCTGCATTTACCCATGTCTCGTCCAAATAATAGATTTTTCTGCTTTATCGCCAATATTCAATCACTTCGCGTAGGTATTTTCGACGCCAGGCGACTATTTCAGGTCTCTCTATCAATACTGACTTCCGATTACGCGTTTCGCAACGAAAATTAATTTCGTGCAGGGATTTCCTCATTACCTCGACGCTCATTTGGGGTATCATTTCATTTTCCTTGATCGCTGCATGTACAGCCTTGAGGGTTGGTATCTCATTCCTAAAGAAGAATGAATGTACGGTTCGCCTTAACGCCATTTTGCTATCGTGATCCAATTTAACGGCCTTTCGTCCCTTCAAATTAAACTTTGGATCAGTAGTAGCTTCAGTTTTCTTCTTTTCATGCACCACCCTGCGAATGGTCCACTCTGGAACGCCTGTCATACTTTCACAACGCGCGAGTGCATCTCCCTGCGACATAGTTCTGTTCAGATAATTGAACATGTTGAGCACGATTTCTTTCGCCTCCCTCTTCAGTGCTTTACGAAGCCGTCTACTTGTTCCCTGGCTTTCAGTACTTCCACTCGTGCCATTTGTACTCTCCATGGTTAAGTATAACCAAAACAGTAACCACAGAAACCACAACGATAACAATCACACAACAATTCTTATAAAAACACACAATATGCGATCGCTCAACGAAACACGTTCCAATGCGTTGCCGACGCCTATGAGTCTGCCGGTCGAGGCGCGTCTTTGATTTCATTGGTTCTACCGGCGGAGAACAATCAGCCATTATTTACATCTCTGTCTGTGCTGTTGACCACCGCAAAGCCACAGAAACGACATATGTCGTACGCTATACGGCTGTACTGGAAGGAAGCCGGGATCGAGCTCTGATCACATGTTGATCACGCGTATGAGTCATTACAGTTTTAAATAGTTGTAGTATAGTCATGGAGTGGCGGTGTATGTAGTGGTAATCGAGTAGTGGTTCGTAAACAGCACGTAAGTCAATTTTTTTCTCATTAAACTTTTTGGTCTATTTCAATCAGTTTTATAACTATTTGTGTGTGACTTGCTATTATCACTTGGCCAGCTTATAGGCAAAATCTTTTTAGTACCATTGTTGGCTTTTGATAATGTAACCTATTATAATTTGGAGAATACTCAGGATATGGGATTAGGGGTTCAAAGTTCCTTTGGCGGTGGGCTAGTTGTAATGTAAGTCATTAATAATAAAAATAAAATTTTGTTCTACAATGGGAAACTACAAACGGAAAACCGAAAGGGCCAGAGTTTCAATTGACCTTCTGCAACGGACAGCTAATGCTGTTACTAAATATGGTCGTAAGCTTAAGACCCTTGCTAGAGAACTAGAGATATGTCATATGACGTTATTTTGTTACGTTAAGAAGGTGAAGACCGATATAACACCAACTGTTGGTTATTCTAGAAAGGTGTTCAACAACAACTAGGAAAAGATATTGGCCGAATATTTGTTGAAATGTGCGTCAATTTACTTTAGTATCTTGCCAGAAAAAGTGAGGAAATTAGCATATACCGCTGCTGTAAAATTTGACATGCGTAATATTCCTGAATCTTGGCATAGAAATAAAGAAGCTAAAGCTGATTGGTTGACGGGCTTTCTGAAAAGAAATACGTCTTTCTCCATAAGAACTCCTGATGCTACAAGTGCAGGACGTGCATCTTTTTTGAACCGGCACAAAGTCAATGAATTTTTTACGAAACTTGGAGTCGTCATATTGAAATTGAATCGTAACGAAGAATCACAGCTACAAGAAGTAGCCGACCCTGAAGAGCATCAGTTTAGATTATAATATGGAAGCCATCCCAGATACTGAACCACGTCCAGCAACAACAGGATCAATTAACAACGACCATCAACCAGGACCTTCGAACATTACTGATTTTCCAAAGAATGTCAATCAAGTAACATCCCTCATATTTTCCCCTGAAGCCATCAAGCCCTTACCAAAAACACCACCAAGATCGTCTACCGCAACTAAGCGCCGAATTAGAAAATCTGCAATACTGACAAACACGCCTGAAAAGAACGCTTCAGCTGAAGAAAAAGCAGAAAGAGGAAGAGTCAATGGCAAAATAAAGGGAAAGAGAATTGAAAAAAGAGTCGACAAAAAGAATACAACTGTTAAAGACAATGGAAAGTCCCGCAAGACGATGATGAAAGCGATGATCAAAAAGGCGACTTGGAATGGTATTGTTTAATATGTTGCGACTCATTTTCCAATTGAAAATCAGGAGAACAATGGATTGAATGCGCTAAGTGTAAGAATTGGGCTAATTCAAAATGACAAAGTTGTGAAAATATACGCTGCTATGTTTGTTCGAATTATAATTCGGATGACGAATCATTTGATTAATAATAATAAATAATTTGTTACGTGTATCATTTATTTTATACATACCTTATCAACTCATATTATTTAATTAATGACTGAAGTTGACAGCGGAACAACTTGCCTCAGCTGAGGAATAACTAGCCCCTTCGTGGGGTTTACAGAAAATGGATCGTGAGCCAAAACAAATTGTTATTTCAATAAATTCGACAGTAAAATATGAAACTATAATGAATTCTGCATCTACTTACATAGGACTCATGAATTACAAATCGTTACCCTAATTGTAATACCACGTATCATCTATTTTGTCGTTTTACAGAAAATGATCAAAACTGTTTTACGGCGGCCGTATATAATTTATTCTACAAATTATATAACGTCTTTCTACTTTTACGGTTAAAACATGCTTAGTTGTCATGTTTACAGATTCCATATTTTTTTGTGAAAACTTTGTTTGATACATGTTATTGCACTTAGCTGTTTGATGATGATACTCGGTGTTCAGGTTTATTATAATGAAAATAGATGTTTCATTATTCAAACAATATACCAAACAGGGCTTTATTGAACATTGTTGTTATACAATATTTAAATGAAACTAATACAGAGATTCTAAAGGAAACAGTAGAAAAGGATGACAAGGATGTTTGTCTTCCTACTCATAAGGCAGGTTGTCCTAGAAACTGTGTACCTCATCTGCTAGAGTAGATTTCAGATCTTGCAAATGGTCATATTTCTTGTTTGATATTTTCAATCTATCTGTAAAAAGTCTTTGATCAAAGAGGTGTATCATACATGGCTTCTTTAACATTCATTGAGGTAGTTCGGTGAGCTCATCTTGAAACTGCTGTTTAATTTGAATTTTGCCTTCTGGTTGGTAGTGGATCTCTCTTAAATTAGTTACTGTTGGGTCATGTGCTTGTTTTTCCTGGTCTGATACTGTGATATACCATTTGGTCTCTAATATCATAATTTCTGAAATCCGTATGGTTCATGTATTTAACTTCGTACGGTTCTGGTTTTAATCGCGCTTCTCTTGTTACTTTCACGTAGTCCGTGGGTAGCTCAATTTCCCGATTGTGAAGCTTTCTCTCAATCACACTGTGAACCGAGTCACACTCCATTTGAGTATGGCCCGGCTCTAGGTATTTTTGAACTACCCGTTTTTTATTTACAACTGCATACTGAAGTAGTGCGTTTGACAATACCGCATTACGGTCGCTCCATATGACAATGGATAAATCATTTTTGCAGTGTTTGTTTAAATGATCATTTATCATAGTTGTAAATACAGATGATGATAAATCACCTTCTGTTTCATTCCACCAGTAGTTGGTGCAGTGATGTGTTTTCAAGTTATAAATTGTAAAGTTATGAACTTTCAAGCGAGTTTTGAAGAAAAACTTATTTGCGTTATCCACTGGACACGATTTGACTGCCTGTACATCCATAACAAAGGCCAAACACTTTTCCTGTTGAGCGTTTTCTTTATCCACTGATTTTTCATATCTAGCTTGGTCTTTCAGTTTTATGTGCATAGTGCACTCAGATTCTGGAATGTTGCCGACCTTATGTGCCACACAAATATTGCACTGATCTTTCTTGGGACTGAACAGAGCCAAATTATAATTTTCGAAGGTATTTGAAAAAGTACAATAGTTTACAGAATCAGTATTGGTTTCTTTGCATTTTTGCACATAAGCTCTATATAAGCTGGCTTTGGAGGTAAAATTATTTTCTATATATGTATTAGAAGACCTCTGCCTACAATAATGCGATGGCATCTTCGGCAGTTCCTTGCGGAAATTACAAAGATATTTCATTTTTTCATCTGATTTTTGATTTCTTGATCTAGAAGCTTTTCGCTCTTTCAAAACTAGATCATGAGAAGTATGCATGCCACTTTGACTCTTGGAGCACCAGCTGAGTGCCATCCATTCTTTGATTCTCAGTGTTGATAAAAACATCTTGCAAACTTGCTTTTTATCATTACCAACCCTTAAAAAATACACATAACTGAAGCTGCTTCGTGACTCGTTCACATATTTCCTTCCGGTTTCTCTCTTTTCCATCAAACCTGCTACATATATCTGTTTTTGCTCCCAAGACATATCGGTCCAAAATTTTTTAAAAACCGACAAGGGCTTCTCATGAGTTATAGTATTACAGTGTCTGTTTTTGTATTTCAGGCACTTCATGGAGGAGCAGGCTGGACCTAAGCTTCTGCATTGCCTTTCGCTATTGTGTAGTACTTGACCAGATTTGCTTCGACTGTATCCTAGATAATCCTTGCCTTGCATTCTGTTACGTTTTGTCTTTTCCCTAGCCCAATGAATATTTTCAGGTTTTCTTTTTCCCTTGGGTTTCTTCTGTCGGTACAATTTTCGTCTTCAGTATCAATAAAGTCTGAATCAGGCTCGTCAGGTTGATTTTCTTTTTCCATTTCATAATCCGGATCAGCATCCTTTGGGACAGACTGGTCTTGCCTTCTAGCTGCTGCATTCATTTCTCCATCCAAAAGTTCACTTGATGTTTGCAGGTTTTCCGTAGGGCCATTCAAATCATTTTTTGAAACAGATTGGGACGATATGTCAGCATAACATAGCTGCAATTGGTAAAACTGTACTTCCGTCCGCATGCTTAGATGGTGACACATGATCAGCATTATGTACCAATGCATCTATGATATCTACACTCATATCATCGTAACTCAACATTAGTCACATTTTCAATAATAACATCTTCATTTGTAAAAATTATTGAATGCGCAAGCGCTTCTTCTAAAACCTGGCTGATTTTATCCGTTTCCAAAGCAGCAGCCAGAATCCTTTTACTTCTGCTTGACATCTATAATGGAACAAAGCTATGAGATACCAACGGCTGGATGAGGTTCCTATAAATTCCGTACAGTTGCATTTAATTCAGAACTATATATCTTGGCAATTTACTTGAACTTGAACTAAGCATTTTGATAACAGCACTTAGTAGGAAATACATTTCAAATATAAATTTTATAAATTAGGAAATACGAAGCAAGGACATTTTAGTGTTTCGCCGATTCCTTCACTAAATGCTTGGAATAGTGATAAACAATAACTCGTATCATCCAACTACAAAAAGAATTACAATGGGGCATAATTTGAGATAAACACGTATCATCAAGTTTGAATAAAAACGGCTCGTTTATTCAAAGTATTGCTTAATTACTCAAACAAGACTAATAAATGACATGTTCATTATATTAACGCTACTATATATTACTCTAATTATGATAATTATCAACGTACCTTTGCTAAAATCAGCTTATTCCTCTAACTTGTCGCAGCGTGATGCGCACTTTCAGCTAACTTTGTGGATGATGTTACGCGGTATTCTTTGAAATGAAATAGCTCGTTTCTTACTGGTTGAACTGATACGTGGTTTTTACAGACGGTGTGCAATACTGGTTACTTTTTATTTATGCTAGAATCTTAATTTCGGCAAATTTGATGACACGTGGTATTACAATTAGGGTAACGAAATATGTTTATTACATTCATACTGGGTCGGACACAGAAATCAGAACTTCGAACCCCGGCCTCCCTACTAAGTTATATGGAACCCACATGCTGGTTTTAGTCGTAAACTGGAGAGATCAGTTCCGTTCTTTCCCCTTTGCCCGCTTATTTGTGTGAATGAAATCGCAAGTTCATTAGTTCATTGCTACCATATGACTATGATAAAGACGTGGCTAACCAAGACATAATAAATGGTGAACGTCATAATGCAGTCTGCTGCATTGCGAAGGTCATGCTGATAAGTGAGTTTGTTTTGATTCAGACACGCAGTTGTTCTTGATACATAGATTTCTGGGAGCGGTCACGTGTTTAGCAAGTGGATAAATATCGTAGCAATTATTAACTACTCGTATTTCGAAACGCAGATAACTCACAAAATTCCGTATTAAGATGCGATATTATGAAAACACACACAAATAATATAGTAATAATGATAAACATCTTTTTATTTTGGCGAAGTTTAGCTTAAGCTATTCGTCCACTTAACTGATACCTAAATAAATACACACATGAGTAAAATAGATATAAATAACAATAAGACTGACAAATATAACAAAATTATTATACATATTTAATGTAGTTATTCTGATAACTGAATAAATACGATTTTCATTAGCAGAAGAGATCAGTATTTTTGATTCTGGCATTGTAAACGCAGATTCTTGGTATGCGTTTTAACCCTGTAATGCTTAGTGGGGTTTCGCATCACCCCAAAGAAAATTCAAATGTTCACTAATTTTTTGTGCATACATTGGCAACATCGAAGATAGATAGATAGATATAGTTAGATAGATAGTCTTTATTGTCTTTTGGTTATAAATAGCTATGACATAAGACTTGTCAACATTACATATACAATACATAAGTATGCGATGTGCAAAAAAAGAACAGGTAGTTAATTAAAACGGTAATTGAGATAATAAATAATAAACAAATAAATCAATAAAATAGGAGTCATTACAAACACAAACAAATTCTCAATGACATCTAACGAACATGAAAAAAAAATCTATTTTAAATAAATAAAAACAATTGAGCGCTTAAAATGTCTAGAAGAGGATCAATAAATAGACTGTTTCTTTTCCGTTAAGCTTAATAAATAAATAAAAAGAATAAATAAATAAAATTAAGCAGTTAGGTATTCGTCGACGGTGTAGTAACACTTTTCTGATAGATATCTTCTCAGACGTTTCTTTAATGTCAACATATTAGTGCTTCTGCGGAACTCAATTGGTAGTTTATTGTAAATTTTTGTACAGGCATAGAGTGGTGATTTCTGAAACTGGGCTGTTGCGTGGACTGGTATACTTAAGTCAAAACCTATTCTGGTGTTGTAGTGCCTGTTAACTGTGTTATTTTGAATAAAACTGGTCCTATGTTTAAATGCGAAGAGAGCGCATTTATATATATAGATGGATATTAATGTTAGCAGATTATATGTTCTGAAAATATCTTTACAAGAGTCTCTTTTGTTGATATTGAAAATCAGCCTGAGTACTCTTTTCTGCAAGATGAAGACTCTGTTGTTCATGACTGCTTGTCCCCATAGTATTATATTATTGCTAAGATGCGGGTAAGCCAAGGCGTAGTAGATATCTATAAGAGCTGTTTGGGAGATGTTTTGTTTGAGTTTCAAGATTGCAAAGTATGCACTATTGAGTTTCTTAATGACATGATTCACATGTGACTGCCAGCCCAACTTCCCATCAATATGAGTTCCTAAGAATTCGGTTCCATCTGAGAAGATATCGTTGTGCAACCGTGGTTTGCTATTGTAGAAATGCACATACATTGTTTTATCAGCGTTTAGTATAAGGCGGTTTGATACACACCAGTCGTTCATTTCTGTTTCAACTCGCTCAAATGCTTGGAGCAGGTCAACTGGTGTTGCTGCACTAACTACTACTGACGTATCATCAGCGTAGTTGACCATAAGGCCAGATAGTTTCAGGTCGTTCATAAACAAAATGAACAGGAGTGGCGCTAGTACCGAGCCCTGGGCTGCACCAATGCTTATGTCATACACCCCCGACGAAGAACCTTTTCACTCTTGTTTTAAGCTGTCTGTTTGATAGAAAAGAAACAAGCCAACGTAAAAGAAAATCCCTAATACCGAGATTATACAGCTTCTGCTCTATTATATCAAATGCCTTCGAAAGATCGAAAAACAAGCCTGCAACATATTTATTAGAAGATCCCGCTATGTTCATTTGAGGTTAAAGTGTGTGTGTTGTTGGTCGCACATTTTTGTTCAGTGCAATAGTTTATATGATATTTTGTGGTTGGGGTGACTAGTAACCCCAGGTAAGCTTAAACTGGTATTTTTATTTTATTCCACACACTAGCTTACGTAATTTATTTAGATGGCTGTCCGACCAGATGATCCCAAATTTGAAGAAACTCTGTTACGATGGAATGAAGAACTCGACAATGAACCTGATTCAGATAATGACGGCACTGACTATGACGACCATGTTTCAATTCAGTCCGACAGGGAGAGCACGTAGGTTATGACTTTTTGCGTAATTATCAATAGTCTTTAAATCCTCATTTACTTGAGATTATACTGCATGCAGTATTTTGCCACGTTGTCCAGATCAGCTTTGTAAAGAATAAAAAGGAGTGGTCCATGAACTGTTCCTTGGGGTCCTTCCGAGGATGACACTGGTCAAGAGATGTTTGTATATCTTTTAATATATTTTCTTAATTTTTTTGTGAGAAAATATGATAGCTTTTGATTTTGTAGGATTTAAACGTAGGTTATGACTTTTTGCGTAATTATCAATAGTCTTTAAATCCTCATTTATTTGGGATTATATTGCATGCAGTACTTTGCCACGTTGTCCAGATCAGCTTTATACAGAATAAGAAGGAATGGTCCATGAACTGTTCCTTGGAATCCTTCCGAGGGTATTAAGGTTGCTGATGAGTTCAAAGCAATAAAAACATTTTCTGTTCTTATGAAATTATTGATCATACCAATTGAAGAGTTAGAAGAACCGTAAAATATAAGAGAATTTAAGATGTCGACAAATGTTGATCCCAACCCTCTACGATGTCATCTCTTAAGTCTAATAACGCTCCTGCAGTATTGTACCCTTTCCTGAATCAGCATTGCATAGCTGGTAGTATTTCAGAATGTACAATCATTTATCTACATTAGTTCCTCTAATAATTTTGATAATATGGATAGGATGCTTATGGGTCTTAAATCAGAATAAGAAGTGGATTATTGTTTTTATTATTTTTAGCTGTTCGTCTAACTACATCGTGTTTCCTTTTTTGCGTTCTTTAGTCAAATATAACAATGATTCTAAAAAGAGTTGTACACTACCGAAATGACAACCACATGCATATATTTATATCATGTTTTTGTATCTTTTGCTTTCACCTTTATGTGGAGATGCAAATCACTTAACAGATTTTTGAGAAATCTCCTCCGCAGAAACGTTATAAGATCTATGAATTTCTTAACAGGTTTAGCGCCAGGGCCTACACCGGTGTCTGCTGTGAGGTTCTCCAACTGGGCCATGGCATACACCGGTGTCTGCTCTCGCTTCGCAACTTTATCGGCTTGGCACGGCCAAGCAGACACGCTCTTATGTATTTTAATATAACGCAGTGTCTGACATGGCCCATGATGCGAGCACACTAGTATCAGGTTTTTTGAAAGCTGAATTTTAACAATTGTTTTAATTTTTTTGTTACAAAAAGCCTTTAGTTGTGTAAGTAGTCATTTATTGTCATAATAAAAGATACATTTGCAGTGATCTAAAACAAATAATTCTAACCTGTAAAGTTTAAAAAATTTCTTAAATGAAATCTAAACTGTATTGCTACTTTCCATGAAAAATATTGAAGCAGTCCAAACAATATCTCGGATTACCTTCCCAAACGGAATAAAACGTTGTAACTCTTATTACCTTACCCTTCCCAATTATACCTTCTTGTTTTTTTTATAACAACCTCTACAGTACTTTCTATTCTCGCTAGCTTTACAGTCCCATTTTGAGGAAACGTGAGTACGAAGATTTCGTGTAGGCTGCGGCCTAGGTATCGCTACATCAGGATTTTTGAATGTCAAAAGGTCTTCTATGACTGACATTCTAAATTCGTTTATAGGCATGACAGTCTCCATTGTGTTTGAAGAGAAAATGTGCATTTACAATCGATGTACCTAATATAGTCTCAATCGCCACCTTTTTATACCACCGAATTGTGCGACGTAGAGCAGTACTGTAACTTGACATTTGGTCAGATATATCAATTGAGGATTGTAATCAATTATGGCTTTCGGCTTGTGAATAACGTGTCCACGCCGTGCACTGTGTCATCTGTATGACAAGTAGAAAGGACAAGGACGTCTCTTTTGTCTCTCCATTTTAGAATACAGATGCCCCTCTCATTTTCTTTTGCAGTGATTTCACCTTTTTTCAGTTTTTTCTTTGTAACACTGACGGGATTTCCAGCACGATTTCTGTTTTTGGCTTGTTCTTTTTCTTTTCCAGCATAAATACTAAGGTTCCAAGTATAACCGTTATCGCAACACAGCTTGAACACTTTTATCCCATATTTATGAGTTTTCATAGGGTTATACTGTTTGAAAACTAAGCGTCCTTGATACGGTATCATAGTCTCGTCAATACAGAATGTTTTTCCTGGCGTATATAGAGTATTTTGTAATTTGATATGAGTTTATCTAGTAATGGTTGCAGTTTGTATAGATGATCTCCATCTGGACAAAGTTTATTGTCTGAGAAATTCAGCATTTTTAGCAGTAATTCAAATCTATTACGGCTCATTATATTACGAGCGACGTCATTTTTCAGTAGCCATTTACGAGACCAGTCATCTCGAAGACAATTCATTTTTACAATGCCCATGTATCCCAGTAAATCAATAAAATGTATAATTTCGGTCCTGTCTGTTGGCTGCCAAGTTTGTATGCGAGCTTCATTGGATATGTTCTCGTTTTCAGTAACACTAAGCGTCGCATAATGATTTGTTTGGTCAACAATCAAATCTAATATGTCAAAATCCACTAAAGAAAAAAAATATTGAACAGGTTTTTCTCCTTTCACTGCCACCTGCCATTCAACTTTCATTCCACTTGTGAAGGTTTCTGGAAACACTAAATTATTTCCTTGTACGGTTTTCGTTCGTTTAGGCGGGAATACACTGGTATCTGTTTTACTTTCCGGTGAGGCCAAGGCAGACACCGGTGTTTGATTTCTTATCTTGTAAAGCCAAGGCAGACACCGGTGTCTGCTTAGTTTTTCAAAAAACTGACAAAAACAAAATTTTATTAGTCGGTATAGGTCTAAAATGCATAAAGCTGGTAGAAAATAACAAAAAAACATATTGGCCCGACGGTATTTTTTAGCCTGGAGGTCCTGGCGCTGAACCTGTTAAAGTATTCGAAGATGGTAACGAAAGCATCGTCTTATACTTACTCAAAAAGCTGGTGTTTGTCGTGTCACCAGTACCGAATATGTAGTCTTCATGAGCCGGACTCCAACGCACTATGTACCATTTAATACGTTCCAGACCATATTCAGGGTATAACCAGTTGACCAACAAACCCTGATCGGTCGGTTGGACTGTAACATTTCTTGGGTAGCCTATCTGAAAAACAATACTGGTCGTGATCAAATTAATATTGTAGTCCATAGTAAGGTCAAATGGTAATTACGAGTATACCAAGAGAAGACAGCAGGGCAAGAGGAGTGAATTAGAGAGAGATAAGAGATGTAATCCAAAACATGGAATCCACACCACGTGCTGTTCTTATATGGTTAGAGATAAATGCGGTGCTTCTACATTTTTGGATGGATTCATGGTCCATCTCGTGTTGTGAAAGCGTCTTCCTTCAAATTTATTATTATTGATTCAGACATGTTTATCATCCATTTGCTGCCTATAATACTAATTTTTTTTATTTATCAGTAGACATAAAACTTGTAAGAGTTTACTCAAAATTACAGAACTCCTAGTCGGCGTTGTATTTTCTATGTCATTTAGTATGTAGCTGCTCTTTGGTTAAGCATTACTTCCTATTATCTTTTCTGGATGCTCGCTTTCATAAGGCGGTGGAGGAAACCAGTTCCACCTAGTTATTATGATTATCGGTTTCTCTAATGGTAAGTATACTACAAGTATTATATTTTCACGAAACGATTTTATTTAGATGTACATACTGTTGGAAATGGCCCAGTTAACAGATCCGTTTCACCCTCCAAGCTTTTTGTCCAAACTCGAATCGACTTGCTAAACAAACCAACATCGTCAATGTCCCGGCAGAGAACCATAAACTCGTACTCTGTTCCTGAAAAAAACATATCCTAAAAATTAGTCAAAACAGAGAAGCAGGCTTGCAGTTCAGGTATAGTAAACGACGACGATATTGTATTCGTTTATATTTTTTTCTGCTTCCTTGTGTTACTGACCCCCCATATAGTACGGACATTGGTACATACATGATACGATATAAATAATAATGGAATCTGGTTCATCTGTATGAATTATACATTTGTGCAATGTGCAATAACCTAAAAAGCCCTGATAGTTCGATGCAATTGATTTGAATGTAGCGAATCTGAGATATCGCAATGTTTCGATTCTGTCATAGCAACAAGTTCACATAACGTGACTGCGCTGTGGAGTCCTGAATCCCTCCACCCCCCCTCCAAAGCCCCGCGCGCAGGTTAATCAGCGCGATGCAACAGAACGGTACTCGGGAATATATTTTCAGTTCTATGCAGATAATTGCGGTTGACGGAGGACGTCTTGAATAATAATTATGTGTGATACAATTTTTTCCGCCCTTGAGAGCGATCTGCTCAGGCAGGACATCAAAAATTACATGTATAAAGGCAATTTCAATGATCGAAGCCCATCTTGCAGCAAAGACTTTTCGGACATTGATACTGTCAGTGCGCATGATACTGATATTAGTAACGAGGACAGCAATGATAGTCAGGAATGCCGCCGTATTTCTAAAAGAATGTGTGTCTGTTGATGCTCAACAGATTTGCAATAATGTTTATAAAGGACTCTTACGTGGAATGGGTGATGGCGGCAATAGCAGTGTGCTTAAAAAAACAGCCATATCGTAACGGTGTCAAACCAAGAAAAAAAATTGACAAGGAGACATCTAAACCTTTAAGTGCAGCAACAACTGCCAAAATAAGAAACATAGTGTATGATCATTATAAACGTAATGAAATTCCCACAGCAAAGATGGTACATCGAGAATTGATGGAAAGAGGCAAGAGTTGTTCTTTGCGGACATTTTAGAGATTTGAAACTATAACAATCAACGTTACTTCAGCAATTTGATTCAGTCATCTCTCATGTCATCCAGACTTGCAAGAGCAAATGTTTGAAAATTTTCAGATCCGTCTCTGTCCTCATGCCTCCGGTTCTCGGTTTTATATGACTATTGGCCAAAAAATGTAAACGAATACAAAAGTGTTGTCGTCTACTATATCATTGCTAGCGATGATCATAATACACGAAGCGACTTTAATAACCGAATCGAACACATGCCAAGAAACATGGATCAGAAATTAATTCATTCGATATCCCTCCCCAACGCATACTGTGAAAGAATACCGCCTAACACAAATTGGGTAGCGCCAGAAGAGACTTATACAGTACCGTTTAAAAAGGTCCCATACTTTTTGAACGGGTCAAGTTAGAAAGCTGAGAGTCGGAGTAATAATACTGATGCTTGAATAGCATGTCTTAGCGTAAATGTAGCAGTTGAAAAAGGCAGCTAAGCACCGTTTCGGCTATCTCATTCTGAAACTCCTTTACGAGTACCCTAAACCCCAAAATATAGTATCACTCGCTCTCTCAAGTTGACAATCTGGCAAGCTGTTGATCGCTTATTTGTACACTCAATTGCTTATAACTCAAGAACCAAATATAAAAATGTTATATCGATCTTCTTCTGTGGGAACGGTCAGTCCGAATGTGTGATAGAATATAAAGCATTGTACTACGCATTGTTTAAGTCTGTTAATTTTTCTAAACATCCAAGTGGTCCCGTCCAAAATAAGAAGATTGACACAACATACTTCAACGTTTAAATTATACTAAGTGACATATAAATCCGGACACCCAGTTTAAATGGTTTTATTTTAATAAAAGTTGGTGAATGTATTTATCTTACTGTAAATAACAAGTGAAAAAATTTTCAGCCTTATCAGTTGGACATTCCGGTTTTTATACTGTTTTTTTTTTAATTCACTAACGCTCTAAAAATGAATATTTCAGCCGCAGTAAAGAATCAACGTTGGCGAATTTTGGTTCTTGACATCCTTTACGATCGGTTACGATGCCTAGAGTACGGAGACCTGTACGATTTCATCAACTTAGTGAGTTTGATAGGGGCCGTACAGTGGGACTTCGGGAAGCTGGATTATCTTTTTGGCCAATTGCAGTTAGAGTGCAAAGAAGTGTAGACACTGTGGTTAGGTGTTGTCAGGCATGGCTTCGAGAAGGCCGTACGCAAAGAGCAAGGGGCACTGGACGCCGCCGTAGAACAACAGACCGTGAAGATCGCCGCCTAAGATTATTGGCCTTAAGGGAGCGTTTCTCCACTACCAGGTCCATTGTAAATGAATGGTTTGCAGAACACGGAAGACCTATTGGCATGCGAAGTGTTTACCGACGAATGAGAAGTTTTGGTTTGTTTTCATATCGGCCACGCTGGGTCCTCCCTTTAACTCGAGAACACCGACGTAATCGCCTTGAGTGTTGCAGACAACGGTCACTCTGGGATCAGGAATGGAGCAGTATTGTCTTTAGTGACGAGTCTCGATTTTATTTAGGCATGCACCATGGTCGTGCCAGGGTTAGAAGGCGACATGGTGAAAGGAGGAATCCACAGTTTTCTGTTGAAAGACATGTTCATCACACTGTTGGAGTTATGGTTTGGGGTGCTACAGCTTATGGTTCCAGGATACCTTTAATCTTCATCAGAGGTAACATGAACGCACAGCATAATATCCACGAAGTTCTAGAACCCCATCTTTTACCCTATCTTGACACCCTGGCAGATCCAACTTTCCAACAAGATAATGCCCGACCACATGTTGCAAGAGTCACAATAGATTTCTTTCAACATAATGATGTCACATTGTTACCATGGCCACTAAAATCTCCCGACTTATTCCCAATTGAACACGTGTGGGATATGATGGGTAGGAGATTGTTCAATTTGCAACGTCCTCCGCAGACTCTAGAAGCACTTCGAGAGGAGTTGGTGGTTGCCTGGAATGAGATACCACAGGAGAACATTGACCACCTGATCAGAAGCATGCCTAGGCGCGTTGGAGAATACGTAGCACATCAGGGTGCATCCACACATTATTAAAGGTCAAAGGGCTTTGAAGCAGTGCAATCATTTTGAAATTTTTATCATTTACTTGTTATGCTTCATTAAGTACTTATACAAAATTTTATTAAAATAAAACCATTTAAACTGGGTGTTCGGTTAGTATATTAGTTGTTGTGTTACGAGTGATTAAATGTACTAAAAAACTCAACCTTGACACCCTACCAGTCAGCCATTTTGGATGATATTTGTTTTATATTCCATTGTTATAATAAGGAGCTCCAAAATGAGCTAGCATAATATATGAACCCCATTCTATTTAAAGAAAGTTGATGCCCAGCCTCCATCTTACAATGCCTAACTGTTGCGTCAATGTTATCATCTCGAATTTCAAAAAATAGAATAGAAAGAGAACCTTTCTCAAAAGCGCTCAGGTTTGCGCGGCTTCTAGAAGTTTCAATAAAAGATTAAGATGAAAAAATGGACGTATTTTATTTCATTTCACAAATATTCAAGATACAAACCAGTCAGTTACATATCGGCCACCCTGTATATGCCCGCAACGCAAGACTAGAGTCGACCTGTTATTGATAGTTACCAATATCTGTACATGCAAAAGGAGGCAGCCATAGTACCTGGTATCAAATTGGTGACCGTAGCTTCCAAAGCTTTGCTCGAGGGTACTTGGTGGGTCTTCCACTCGGTCCCATCCTTCTGTCTATACCAGACGCTGAAGTCTACATTGGACGTATGCCTCGCCATGTTCCAAGTTAGATGGACAGATGTTGGTGAAGAAACGGCGGATAAATTGTAAGGAGCACTAGAAGGTATGTTTTCTACTAGGAGTTCGGTTTCAGCTGTTATAGTGGCAGCTGAAAGAAAAAAGCACATCGATAGCACTCAAGCAAAATGATGATTATTTACCCGCATTTGGAGACAATTATACTTTAGGTCCAGTCCGAAGACATCACTTTGTTTATTTACTATGTAGTCCGACCCTGGATTACTAGTCGCACACCAAGTTAAAAGACAAGAGATCCCCGCTCCCGTCCTGTCGCTCTCCGGTCTTGCACGTTGAGTGTTGCGTCATTCGGTTTTTGGTGTTACAGTCGTACGGTCGCCCGGCTTGTTTGTGCGTTAGGAAACACGTAAAATACGCGATTCCTTTTCAAATCGGTTTAGTGCTTGGTGAGTAGGTTGGTAAGTAGGTACAACAATGGGTTGTTTTGTTGCTCATCTAATAACACGTTATATATAATATAAGATATACTTACATAAAATTTCTAGGCTTTATGATAGATAGTGTCCATTTAAAAATAGAACTTCCTGACGAAAAGAAGCCTATCCCTGAAAGGATATTTTTTGGTGGACAAATCATATTTCAAAAGCCTTCAATGACATCAGGTATGATTCCTTTCATATAACAATTTTTACCGACGCATCACTTACAGGATGGGGTGCTGGTTGTGGCCATGACAGAACCCATGGATTCTGGTCTGACTCTCAAAAACGGTTACATATAAATAATTTGGAGTTATGGGCTATTTCGTACGGGATTCAGTGCTATGCCAAAAATTTGAAAAACTGCAATATTCTAATTAGATGTGACAACACGACAGCTGTTTCACACATCAACAGAATGGGGAGTGTTCAATTCAGAGACCTCTGTTCGTTGTCAAAACAAATTTGGCAATGGTGTGAGCAAAGGAACCTCTGGCTCTTCGCTTCAGACATTTCTTCGAAGGATAAAGTTATAGCAGACACCGAGTCCAGGAGTTCGAATTTGGAAACGGAATGGTCATTATGTCAAATCGCCTTCGACCCTTTAACCAGCGTTTTCGGAAACCTAGAGATTGATCTTTTTGCTTCCCATACAAATGCTAAATGCAAGTTATATGTCTCCTGGCATAGAGATCCAGAATCTGCATATATTGACGCGTTTACGATTCCCTGGAATCGATTTTATTTTACACATTTCCACATTACAACAATATAACAGTTCGGATAAATAAAGCATCCCACAAACCGGCGCGAAATATTCGCTTTGGCTGCGAAAATTTCGCGGCAATGAATTCGCGATCAGACTAAAACGCGGCGGTTTACGGACAGGCTCAGACTTGTGCGAAGCGAATGCGTTTTTATCGCGGCGTATTTCAGTTCGCCTTTGACCGCGTTTTTGACGCCGTTCTTCAAAAATTCGCAATGGCAAAAACGGAATTATTGATAGAAATAGTGAAAAAGTATCCCTGTTTGTATGATTTGTCGAACGATGAATACAGGAATGTGAGAAAGAAAGACAAGATTTGGATGGAAATAGGAAAAGAATTAAATACAAATGGTATGTACCTAATATTTTTTATTAACTTGTTAAATAATTTACAGTCTACACAAATGTGAAGACGAACATTATATATTGGGCATAGGCATATCAGAATTAAAATAATTTACGAATTTGTTACGAGTAGAAAATGCTAGCCTTGCTGCCCGCCGAGGATCATTTGCTATATCAGTAAAAGCTCCAAGCACGGGTTCTGGGGGATCTAAGAATTGAAAATATTTGTCATCGCCACTTTTACTTCGTAAAAAATTGTACGTACAATTAGAATAGTAGTATCTACTTTAGTTTCTAATGGCCTGTAAAATATTCGCCATTTTTGAGACAAAATACCAAACGCATTTTCCACGACCCTTCTAGCTCGACAAAGTCTTACATTGTATTTCTCTTTTCTGACGTCTGTTAAAGTCTGCTTATAAGGAAATGGTCTCATAAGGTATGGTTTTAAAGCAAATACTTCATCACCAATCAAGACGTACGAGCAGATTTCATTTTGCCCAGGGAGAAATCTAGGTGCAGGGACACTCATTAAATTTTGTTCAAATCGTTTTCTCATGTTTGAGGTTTCGAAAATACCCCCATCACTATTTTTTCCGAAACCACCAATATCAACACATATAAATTTATAGTCCGGGCCAACAATGGCCATAAGACTATTGAATATTTATGTAAATAGCACCAGTAATTGGAGCCACTGTTGTTAGGTCTCTTGATTGTTAAATGTTTACCGTCCACGCTGCCAATGCAATTGGGAAATCCCCATCTATTTTCAAATTCTTCAGCACATTTTTTCCATATATTCTCTGTTGGTTCTGGTAAATATATATGCTCCATATGTCTGCATATCGCTTCACAGACTTCGGTTACGATTGCACTCACTGTTGTAAAGCCAACTCGAAAGCTATGCCCAATGGTATAGAAGGTGTCACCAGTGGCAAGGAATCTATAAAAAAAATCGTTTTTAGGTGATGAAGTAAAAAAAAGGTGGAAGAATATCAGAGACACATTTGCAAAATATATAAAATCTACCAAACCAAAGACCGGCGAAGCAGTGGGCAACATAAAAAAATGGCAGTGGGCTGACTACATGGAATTTTTCCGTCCTTTTTTGGCATTTGCCAAAACGTCGTCTAATGTGAAAGATATTGACATCATACATTATGAGACTGCCGAATTTAACTCAAATATATATCAGGAAAGGGCTGGAAATGTAGAAACGGAAAATTTGGAAGACCGCGGCCATGGAGAAGATGAAAATGCTGATGTAGATGCAGAAGATGCACAGAACGCCTCGGCAACACAGACAGCACCACCTTCTTCATTGAACACTACAGCAGTGACTACTCCAGGACACACCTTTCCGCAGACTGCAACTACACCAAAATATAAAACGAACAGAAAACGCTATGAACCACCATCTTCGTCTGTACAACAGCTCATTAATTATTTTGAAGGTAAAAAACCTAAAAAAGAGAACGAGGCCATTGATTCACTTTTCTTGGCACATGCACAGACTGTGAAAACACTTTCCTTAAAGCGTCAAGCCCGAATTAAACTAAAAATAGCCGAATTAATAGCGCACGAAGAATTTGAACATATTGAAGAAATGTCTTCAGCGTCTACCCAGAATTCTGCAAGTATGTATGATAGTAGTATGTCGTCCTTCCCAAGCGGCACTGGGTTTACTCCAATAATATACCCAACAGAGGAGGCAAATTCTGCCTCGAATTATTTAGTAACATTTAATCCTAGTGGCAACATGTAGTCCAATTATTACAATAAAATATTTGTTTCACGATCCCTGAAGTTTTCGTATTCGATAAGCCTACTAATTTTAATACATATAATTTTTTTACCTGAGTGTAATAGCAAGTCGTTCTTCTGGCGAAATAGCTTCACGACAATTTGTGTCAGATTTTCGTATTTCATCTTTCACCAAGTTCAATATTTCATCGAAACACTCTGGAGTCATTCTAAAATATACGTAAAAGCGCTGTTCATCCAGCCGAAGTTGTGGCATCAAGGTATGGTATTCCCTAAATTTATTTCGTTTCAAGTTAATATCATGTACCCACTTCCTTCGTTTCCTAAACAAAATTGAAAATATTTGTTTTATGTACTTCGTTAAACTTAATACATACCCAAATCCCAAATGGCGTTAAATAAACATAACTTACCGTGCATTTTGTTCCTCTTCTAAAGCAAGAAATAGAAGTGCCTCCTCTTCTTCTGAAGACGAGCTCATTGCAAAAGGCAAAAATAAAATGTACGCAACCTGTCGAAACCTTGACGTTCGCGGAGCGAATAAGACGCTTTGGTATGAATAAACAGGCGAAACAGATTGCGAATTTCGCTCTGAATTTCGTTGCGAATACTTCGCCGCGATTATTTCGCGCCGGTTTGTGGGATGCTTTATGGTGGGGTTATTGCTTCAGTAATGACATTTCGCTTTTTAATCCCACAATCAAAGAAGTGGTGTCATTCTTGCAAGAATTGACAAATAATCAAAACCTTACGTATGGTACTTTTAACTCCCATACATCTGCCCTTTCATTAATTTGCTCAAAGGATTTAGCCTCTAATCCGATAATTAAACGCTTCAAAAAAGGCATCTCTCGCTTACGGCCTTCACGACCAACGTATACTGCCACCTGGGACCCTATACCCCTTCTAAATTATTTAGAGAAGTTATCATCACCGCTTAGTCTTCAAATTCTGTCACAGAAATTAACGACGTTATTAGCCCTAATAACAGGAGAAAAACTCCAGACGATATCTCTTATACGTCCCTCAAATATAATCCATGGTCACAGTGAAGCAACTATTAATATATCGGATCCAATTAAAACCAGTAGAGTTGGAAAACCTCAACCCACTTTGCGCATCCCGATTTTTCAACAAAACCCCTTTCTTTGCGTGGCCACAATCCTGAAAGAATACATTGATAGAACGGCTTCTTTAAGAGAACCCAATAACCATTCCCTATTTGTGACAGGGAAAAAAACCCCATGCCAGGGCGTCTAAAGACACTTTAAGCAGATGGGTAAAACAGACCCTTGCCTCTGCAGGAGTAGACACAACACTCTTTACGCCTCATTCAGTAAGGCATGCGGCGACTTCTGAGGCGTTAAGAAAAGGCGTTTCCGTAGATAACATATGTAAAACAGTTGGTTGGACGCAACGTTCCACGTTTGCAAGATTTTATAATCGTCCTTTACAACCAAACAATGAGTTTGCAAATGGAATCCTAGGAAAAATTGGTCTGATTAGTTAAGTTCTAATACTCTTGAGAGTTTGTTACATGTTTCCTGTGTTTCAGTTATTTCTGATATCAACGTTATCTTTAGGTTACAATTTGAGAATTTATTTTATGTTTGTTACATAGGAATACTAAACATATGGTTTTGTCGTTTCTGAACACTGTGATTCCACTTTATAACACCATCAGATCGCTCGCAACTGTGTTCTATCTTTAAACATCTACGTAGTAAATAAACAAAGTGATGCCTTCGGACTGGACCTAAAGTATAATTAATCGATCAAACGAACTTACCTTAAGTGAAGTTCGATCGTAATTATACGAGGGTCCAGTCCGAAGACATCACTCGCACCCCTTTTTTCAACCCTCCCAAGTTGCGAACAAGTACCATTTCTTTTAACAAATGACTCAACACTCAACGTGCAAGACCGGAGAGCGACAGGACGGGAGCGGGGATCTCTTGTCTTTTAACTTGGTGTGCGACTAGTAATCCAGGGCCGGACTACATAGTAAATAAACAAAGTGATGTCTTCGGACTGATAATTACGATCGAACTTCACTTAAGGTAAGTTCGTTTGATCGATTAATTAGACGGGATAATTGGACTAGCGTACTGAGAGGATATTATAAAAACTAGCATTTTGATGCTGTAATGCAAACTTGCCAGGTTAAATGTTAATCGGAGCGGTGTAATTAATGTTCAATAAAAATGAAATTTTGTTGCGCCAGGGTACATCGCGTAACGTGATAAAATAATGGACCTTTATCGAAACTTTGCCACCCATCTGCAAAGCTTTTCTGAGAAGCCATAGAGTGGAAGTTAGCATAAGAAGGTGGCGTGCCACAGCTGATACAGCGCTTTCGTGATATCAATTCCAACGACATGAGCCACACCATAGTCCAAAAGCTCGCAATTTATGCACCTTTCCATCACCGTACTTATAACAGAAAGCAGAGCTACAGGCCTATAATTGTAAGGGTCAGTCTTAGATCCCTTTTTTGGGATGGGTGAGCAAATTTACAGTTTCCTGGGAAGGTTCCGGATTCGTAAGATATCTCTTATGGTCTTATGCCCGCATAGTGTAGAGTATTTCGCGTACGCATGAACAAACAACCGACGCATCCGCGTTAGCAGAACAAACATCTCTCCAAGGAAAGGTGGAGAAGAAGTATCTCAACATTCTCTGGTATCTTACCTTTATTTGTGGCCGAGCACTGATATACTCCTCGATCTTCGGTCTGGATTTCGGTAATCGTCAAGTTGCCATCTTTGATAGAATAGCGCCCTACTGGGAGAGTACCACCATCTTTCTAAGAATAAAAAGCAGCCTGTTTAGCTATTAAAGTTGATTATAACAAACTGTAATGGGCCAAGTGTGCTAAAGGCGACGCTGCTCCCGTTCATCCAAGGATTACGCGCCTACCAGTAAAGAAACACAAAACAGACCTTTTAATGAATTGATCGAGCATTTCATGCATGATTATCATGATGTGCGTTGATCAAGTCAATGATAACAAATCCTTTAGCGATGTGATCAACCAAAGGCGCAGCTACTTCATTGCGATGGTTAAGCCTGTTCGATCAAATCGTAAAATAAATACATCAGTTACCGATAGAGGCGCAGGCAGCAGGTTTACACTTCAATTCAAGCAACAATAAAAGAAGTTGTTTATCTAAGTGAAAATTCTGATGAGGAAGAAATCGTACCTTACAGTAAAAAGTTACTTAGGACCTTACAAAAAAATGTAATAAATTACATTAACATTTATTTATTTAAAGTCAAAATCGTATGCCAGCTGAAATATCTTATTTTTATATATTGAATTATTGTATCATCCTGCGTATGTAAAAGTAATCTATATTTTTATTTCATTCTTATGTTATACCACAGCCGACGTCAACTACGAGCCGTGATGAAAGAAAGGCAAACCGCGCTCGGACGGCATGGTAGTGCTACCTGTGAACGTCGGCCGCCAGCGGCTGTGTGCTCCGTCTCCATGTAACGTTCAAAAACTAAATTTAATTTTGGAAAAGAGGACAGTTCGATTCGATACAAATCGTCTGAATATGAAATAGCGTGTGAAGCATATCCAGATATATAAGTCTTAGTAGTATCCTCTATGTCACAATTGGCTAAGTAATTTGTCTCAAATACTTCATTGAATATATCCAAAACTTCAAGATTTTGTTTGGTATCCAAGAAATCAAAATTTTCTTGAGGTTCTAAGCGGTTTTGGAACCTTGTTTTAATTTCTGCTAAAGAAACTGACGATTTCTTTTCATTGAAAATATGCTTCAGCCGTATTTTCTTTCCAGCATTTAAAATTTCATCATATGACACATTGTAATTGCAGCCACATAAAAGTCTATAATTGCCAAATCGTTTTTCTAAATTATCAGTGGTGAATTTTCCAGGCAATACATACTCAATGTCAAATTGATTAAATGAATATTCAATTATATTAAGTAGAGTCAGCGTGCTTTGAGATAGAGCTGTATACGTTTCTGGTGTCAGGTGTCCATTATTATTCTCTAGATTATGCCATTTTTCTAAAAATATCAGGAATTTTTTTAAAAATTGTACTCTATAATCATATTTATTGGTAATAGGCTTACAAAATTCGTTTCGCTTCAATTCTCCTTTTATTACACTTGTATTACTGACAATATCCCACCAATTCCTGATTATTTCGAAAAAGTGTGCAGCATCATTAAACTTTAATTCTTTCATAGCAGCTATTGTTGAGTGATGGAATAAATTATCTACAAAATTTACATTTTGCCTTTCAAATGAATTTGGATGCAATGTTTTATAATTTAATTTATATGCTTTCTCAACTACAGCTTCTTTTTCCAATTGATATACAGCACGAATGTTTTCAAATTTAGCATACTGAATAATATCATTATTGTCAAAATTAGGATACACAAAAGTTTTGTCTAGGTGTTTTAAATTAATCCAATTATTTCTGATACTCTTGAAAATATGCACAACATCATAAGTTAAATATATGTTCTTATCAGGATTATGTGGATTTGGAATAGAATAATTTTCTGATGAATCCTTTGCTAATTTCCTGAACATTGCTCCATTAATTCGGTGATTATCAGTAACAACACAAATAACTTCAAATCCACATTTTTGAACTAAATTTATCTTTGATCTTATCCATATCATCGAAATTCTGGATAGCTTTTTCATGTTTCTCAATTAATTTTTGTTTTCTTTGCATTGGGTCAGTTCTTTTGGGTGCTTCAGTTTTTGAAAGATATGATGGCATGTTTGGGAAAATGGAGGGAACAGCATTTTCTTTCAATTTTGGATATTTCGAAGGTATATTATTTTGGACTGTTCCATCCGCCAAAACTATATTTTCTGTCCTGATGATATCCGATTCTCTAAAATGACGACTGCACACAGCTGAATATTTTGAAGGTGTCCAATTTTTTCTGGGAATTGCCATAAGCCATTTGTTTTTCAGACTTTCGGTACTTGGGAAGCGAAAAGTTGAAACATAGCTTTCTGTTTTCAAAGCAGAATTATAGTTTGCATTGCATAAAGGAACACAGCAACAACGAGGCATATTGTCTGCGTCAAATACTTGATAAATGAAAAAAGAAAAATACAACCTGAATTTGCACGTTTTCAATAGTTGAAATCATTAGCGTCCTGAGGCGCGAACAGCCACAGTCACACGTCTTAGTTTATTTTTAAAGCACAGAAGCACTACAACTGGAGTCTATTTCTCATATATTATAGTCACCGATCACTTTGAACACATACACACACTTTGAAGCTTAGAAAACAAGCTTATCTCTTAATTACAGCCTCCGGGATTCCAAAATCACAAATTGAAGAGGTTATGTTTTCTCAGCGTTTTGAGCACGAGTTGCGTCGATGCAGCAAGCAACGGCGGGAGTAACACTACCACCTACGTTGTCAGATTTCTTTGTTCACGGCTCGTAGTTGACGTCGGCTGTGGTTATACGTTAAATAAAGGAGAGTAGGGTGTCCACGCGAGGTAGTAACTTAATTTGTGACACGATCATGATCAAAGATTTTATAATGATAATAATAAACAAAAATAATCGTAATGAGAAAGTTGCAAAATACAGGGAGCTAGAATTTCAATTTAAGCAACAGTGGGAGGTGAAGAGCGTGGAGGCAATACCAATGACAATGTCGTCAACAGGGGTGATACCAACAAGTCCGCTGGAAGACATCAAAGCGCTGAAACTAAGTGAAAACATTTAGAAAATCATGCACAAAGTAGTTTTGCTGGCAACTGCCCGCATAGTAAAGACATTTATCGGAACCGCAATTACCTAGTTATGTCACTATTGGGGCTTACCTCTTTAACGCTTGAAACGTCAGGGATGAGCCAGAACCCCCCGATTATCGGGAGTAACAAAGCCCTAACCCTACTCAAAGTAATATATAATAATAATGCTCTTTATTTATCCATCATACACGTACATTTCACACACACATGAGAAAGACAATAATATTGGGACAACCTCAGCGGGGAATTCATCTATAGGGGTTTTTCCACTCAGCCCTTGCATGTAGTAGAATATATGTAAAAAGTATAAAAAGTAGCCTAACCTAAAATTAATAAAAAAAACACATAGGTCACCTAAATTGAACCTGAAATATGTAATAATTTAATTGTTCATAAAGTTAATCCAAAACTAAATCATTAAATTTATGTGGATTGCATGATTTGAGATAATAAGGAAGATAATTATAATATCTAGTAATAGTAAATTTTAAGCTTATTTCAGAAAGAACTGTCCTATGAGATAGTATAATTATTAGGAGATATTGCCTTGTGTCAACATTACGAACTTTTGCGCGAAATGGCAACTTTTGGTTTGGTTCTTACAGTACCAGTATTTTCTCCATGTTTAACCAATTTAATTCCTTCAAGTTGTGTTGAACGTTTTACTTTTTAATCCCATATATAAGTCGAATGCATGCGATCTGTTCACGTTAAATACGATCAAGGCTGTTTTGATCTATACATTGGCCAAATGCAAGTACACAGTAGATAAATTGTACTAGAGTATCGCACAACATTTTCTTAGTGTCTGTTGATAAATATGATGCATGGGGATAGAGTAATTTTAGCGATGCGTATCCTCTCTGTATGCATTTCGTTATTTTATCCTTAACCGCAGATCTTGATCAATGAGTAAGCCCAAATTCATCATTAATCTTTACTTGACTACCTGTTCCTCAAGCCAGCCCTGGTGCTGCTAACAGGAAGATGTCGCGTACTCTACTGGACGGTGGGTCGACTACGCGAACACGCTGCGCAGCAGTGACGGCGGCAATGCTACAAGAGGTTGTCCCACTGCCCAGTAAAGGGCGCGAGTTCTCCCTGTGAACAGGGCTGACTTAAGGAACAGGTTTTTTTGGCAGGGTCGTCAAGCAAGAATATTTACTCGATGTTAGCAATTTTCAATAAAATGCTCATTGAATTGCTGTCATATCAATCTATTATTAGATATTGTATTATTATATTTATGTCCATGCTTCGAGTATTTTTCATTGGTGCATTTCTTGTACATGTCCGTTAATTCAGTATCCGGAACAAATAATATATAATAATAAAATAAATAAATGAAAAAATGGGGATTTATGACATATTTCTTGATCTAATGTGGAATAAGGAGGCTTACACAGACCGTATAATTATTCTCTAGTTTGAGAGGCACTAGCCAGAAGTCGATCATATTCATTAGATCCATCACTTCAATGATGCCTTCTCTTTGGTTGAATTTGTGAAACACGAGCTTTTTTGTGCCCTATTTGGTAAAATCGAGCCTAAGCAGAGCAAATCTTACCTTGTACCAAACGATGATTGGTCTATGACCATCCTCCCCGTCTCTGGCATCACAAGGCATTTCAACAGATTCACCAAGTTTCCTCAGGTACAAGTTGTGCGGCGTCCTCACGAATACAGGAGGTCGCTGAACGATGACATGCATGTTGGTAGATGGTCCTTCTGTTCCAAGGTCATTGTAGGGTGTGCACGTGTAGGCACCTGCGTGAGATTCGTCGACTTTGTTGAAATAGAGGCTACCATTTCGTCTACAGAAAACATATTTTTAGTGAGAAGCTTTTCCAAAGTGCGGATATTGGAAGTGTTTGCTTCCACAGAAAAGTGTTCTGCAGTGTTCGGAAGTATTAGGATGAAGGTAGCCGGTTAAGCAGGCCCTAACCAAATTTAATTTTGATACTATATTATGTCCAAGAATGTTCCGTGAATCCAAGTTTTGCATTTTCCTACAATATGATGTCAAAGACCATATAATATTGCACCGCCCTTCTAACTGGGACCTTGAGTAACGATGCGATGTCCTCGCTACCTCGACGCTTAGGCAACCAATTATACACCCAGAATTACGCGATCATGTATGGAGCGCGTCTGCGTTTCAGTAGAGCTTGCAACGCATTCTCTGGAATTCATCAATTACAAACAAATACCCAGGCGGCCTCTACCAGGGGGACAGTGGAGAGAATGGAGTAGTACGCAGCGTTATACAGTTACGGTGTTTTCATTACAATGTGTAACCAATTCAAGATTTACTAAACCCATCAACATTTAAACATAAAGACCTCATCTTGCATAATAAAGAGACATATTTATCATATCAAGTGATCTGTAGGTGTTTTTAATGTTTTTGGAGGGTCAAAGTAAAAGTACAGGAATTACTTTCATACATACATCTCCTTACACACAAGCCGTCTGAAAAGTTCCGGAACTCCGCTATAATTTGTGAACTAACGATAATGATAATGATGATAGAAAAAGCTAATACTCGCGACTGATAGGAGTTTTTTCCAGCTATCCAATACTGACCTTGGATTTGACCCTGATTACGGCATTCAAGGTTATTTGAAGGTCAAGTCGATTTTTTAAATGCATCCATCCATTTTTGACCCTACAAATGAAAAGAGCGAAGAATCTTGAATTCAAATATGTTCTTGGCCATTCTTAAATTTTGAGATTAGGAGGTCATTATCCAGGTCAAAACCCAGTTGTTGTATAGGGAAACTACTGAGACACATATTTCATGATTTTCCCCGGATATCCAATAGTGACCTTGGAATTGACCTAAGCCATGACCTACAAGGACATTTGAAGGTCAAATGATTTTTAATGGAGCCTCATACTTTTGACCGTGGAAATGGAGAAAAGGTAAAATTTTTTTGTTGAAATATGTTCTTGACCATTTTCGGTACTTGCCGTTGGACTTGACGGTTAAGGTCAAAGAAAGATTTACCTTAATTGCTTGATACTTCAGAAAACTGTGTAATCTCCAAAAAAGTGAGGATTGTTCCCTGACTATAAAAATCCGTTTGACCATCACATGACCTTGAAAGTCATCATGGTCAAGGTCGGATCCAAGATCACTTTTGGATGTACTGGAAAAAATCATGAAAATACTGTCTCAGTAGTTTTCCTATACAACTATTGGTTTTCAAGTTATAACACCGTACCTGGGTTTGACCTTGACCATCATCACTCAAGTTCAAATGATAAGAATGATCAAGATTCTATTTGAACCTAGAATTTCCACTCTTCTTGTAATAGGGATTAAAAATGAGGGGTTCCATTTAAAAAATCGAATTGACCTGCAAATGACCTTAAAGTCAGTGTCAAGGCCAAATCTAAGGTCGCCATTAGATAGCTGGGGCAAGCTTGTATCAATCACCAGGCTTAGTTTTTTCATACCATTTTTAGTATTTGAAATTATCGTGGGGTTCTGGAACTTTTCAGTATATGCAATCGACCTCTATGCACGGATGTTTGTGATAACTCAAAGACATACGTTTTTTAGGTTCGTCCTACCGCCTTGAGGATATTTTCGTCAGCCTCTTCCACATTTATGCTTGCCACTGTCCATATGACAACTTGCTTATCATGAGCATGCGCTCTGTGTTTACCTTTGTATATTAAACAGAAGTAATGCCTAAGATACAGAAACAGAATAAAATCAACAAAAATCACCCAATTCATGTGCGTGTGCAAGAGCGAGTACAAGCTGCATTACAGATTACAAAAAAGGTGAATAGAACTATACAAGACAAAGTTTCTCCCTATCTATCTTTCCAATCATGTACCATTTATGTTTATGCTTTTAACAAAATTCTTATGGACGACTTTGAGACATATTTAATCATTCTTTTAAAGTTTTAAGCGATTGTAAGCGAGACGAATCATCTTCATCGTGATCTATTATGCATTTACCTGTAAAAAACTCCTTGGATATTGTAAGGATCAAACAGGAATCCGTCTTTCTCCCATCGTAAATTAGTCAAAGGTGGATTTGCTCTGAAGTGGCAATCTATAATGGCGGGCCTTCCAAATGGTAGGTGAATTTCTGGTGGAGCATATACCACCTTCGCCTTATCTAAAATTACATAACCTATAACTGAGTATGTTACGTAAAAAACGTTAGAAAATTGGTGTCTAGTATCTGTTTTTAACAATATGTGACACCACTTTTAAAAGGCACAATATCGGTGCATTTGAGATTGACACAAGATCATCATTCTTGACGTGCAGTCAAACAAACTAGTGACATCTGCGTCATCAAAAGGTAACACGCCCCAGGTTTGGATGTGTTACCCTTGGCGTATGCTGTAAAAATTCATTCACTGGGTGCCGGATTCATAAGATATCTGGAAGAGATATTATTCTATACACATATTTCCTTAAACACCGATATCGCACACCAAAGCACTGAATACTGCCTCGACCAGTTTGGCATAGCTCTTCAAACCTGATGTTGTTCACGTCACGTTACAAAATGAATTTAGGATAGCACTGTGTTAGTTTGGAATTAAACTTACACTGAACATTCAGGAAAGCTTTGGCCGTCTGCGTATCACCTTGAACGTTGTAGGCTTCACATTCGTATTCTCCATAATCTCCTGAATCTGTAGGTCGAATCACTAACGTGTTTTCTCTATAACATGATCAAAAAAAAAAAAAATAAAAGAGAAAAATGCCGTAATTTATTTTTAAATGGACTACTATTTGTTATTTCTGAATGGATCTGTAATAAGACTACTTACTTTGTTATCCAAGATCTTGATGTGAGATCGTGGTATTCGCTAAGAAGGATGCCATCTTTGTACCATCTCACTTTTATGTCCACATCTTTTGTCATACAAGCAAATTCCACCTCTGCACCTTCAATGACAGTCCTATTGATTGGAGGAATGGCAAGCAGATTTCCACCTAAAATAATGACACTGTGCTACATTACTTGAGAGAAAAATATGACACAACTAAATATGTATTGTTAAACTATTTCCGTTTGTACTAGGGGTACGTTAGTTAGGTGACCCAGCATATAACTTAACGGAATCTAACCTAAAAGCTCAGTGTGAGAAAATGCTAACATCCTGAAGTTAAGTGAACTTATTTTAGGTGCGTTTATAAGCCCTACATCTATGTACTCAATGACGCTGAAGGTTGGCTAGATCGGAGTATATATACTAAGTGACATATAAATCCGAACACCCAGTTTAAATGGATTTATTTTAATAAAATTTTGTATAAGTACTTAATGAACCATAATAAGTAAATGATAAAAATTTCAAAATGATTGCACTGCTTTAAAGCCCTTTGACCTTCAATAATGTGTGGATGCACCCTGATCTGCTACGCATTCTCCAACGCACCTAGGCATGCTTCTGATCAGGTGGTCAATGTCCTCCTGTGGTATCTCATTCCAGGCAACCACCAACTCCTCTCGAAGTGCTTCTAGAGTCTGAGGAGGACGTTGCAAATTGAGTAATCTCCTACCCATCATATCCCACACGTGCTCAATTGGGGATAAGTCGGGAGATCTTGGTGGCCATGGTAACAATGTGACATCATTATGTTGAAAGAAGTCTATTGTGACTCTTGCAACATGTGGTCGGGCATTATCTTGTTGGAAAGTTGGATCTGCCAGGGTGTCAAGATAGGGTAAAAGATGGGGTTCTAGAACTTCGTGGATATAACGCTGCGTGTTCATGTTACCTCTGATGAAGATCAAAGGTGACCTGGAACCATAAGCTATAGCACCCCAAACCATAACTCCAACAGTGTGATGAACATGTCTTTCAACAAAAAACTGTGGATTCCTCCTTTCACCACGTCGCCTTCTAACCCTGGCACGACCATCGCGCATGCCTAAACAAAATCGAGACTCGTCACTAAAGACAATACTGTTCCATTCCTGATCCCAGAGTGACCGTTGTCTGCACCACTCAAGGCGATTACGTCGGTGTTCTCTAGTTAAAGGGAGGACCCAGTGTAGCCGGTATGAAAACAAGCCAAAACTTCTCATTCGTCGGTAAACACTTCGCATGCCAATAGGTCTTCCGTGTTCTGCAAACCATTCATTTGCAATGGACCTGGTAGTGGAGAAACGGTCCCTTAAGGCCAATAATCTTAGGCGGCGATCTTCACGGTCTGTTGTTCTACGGCGGCGTCCAATGCCCCTTGCTCTTTGTGTATGGCCTTCTCGAAGCCATGCCTGACAACACCTAATCACAGTGTCTACACTTCTTTGCACTCTAACTGCAATTGCCCGAAAAGAAAGTCCAGCTTCCCGAAGTCCCACTATACGACCCCTATCAAACTCACTAAGTTGACGAAATCGTACAGGTCTCCGTACTCTAAGCATCGTAACCGATCGTAAAGGATGTCAAGAACCAAAATCCGCCAACGTTGATTCTTTACTGCGGCTGAAATATTCATTTTTAGAGCGTTGGTGAATTAAAAAAAACAGTATAAAAACCGGAATATCCAACTGATAAGGCTGAAAATTTTTTCACTTGTTATTTACAGTAAGATAAATACATTCACTAACTTTTATTAAAATAAAACCATTTAAACTGGGTGTTCGGATTTATATGTCACTTAGTATACATTTCTTTACTAAATGATCCTGATTTCTGCACAGATTGTGGGCGATTTGACAAATAATTTTCGATCAGTGAGTACGCGTTTCCTCTGAAACCAATTCTCTCCAATGCTTCTAATAATAATTTGTGATTAACTTTGTCGAAAGCTTTCTTTAAATAAAAAAAAAATGCAGATTGAAGGGATTCTGTTATCAATATTTTGATGTATTTGATTTACAATTTTAGTTATTGCGTCAGATGTAGCCTTCCCTTCTGTAAATCCATATTGATTTTCATTTAAAATTTTGAATCTTGTGAGGTATCGAATCATTCTTGTAGATGAAACTTTTTCAAAAACCTTTGCTACACTGGATATTATTGATATTCGTCTATAGTTGTTAACATCTGTTTTTGTTCCTGATTTATGTATCGGTATTATATTACCTTTTTTTTGAAATTGAGGGATATATGCCAGATTCAAAGCATTTGTTGATTAGGTAAGCGAGTGGTTCTGTTATGTCTTCGGCTATAATTTTCAAATGCTCGCTTTTAATACCATCGAACCCAAGACTTTTCCGATTTTGTAAGGACATAACAGTGGTGTATACTTCACATTGCTCGACTTTATCCAAAATAAATGAGTTCGAAGTTCTTTTTGGAGGCTGAGTATTTTGTACATTTGCTTGTATATTACTTGCTAAATTTTCGCCTATGTCAGTAAAGAATTGTACAAATTCATCGCATATCTGTTGAGTATTTTTTAATACTTTTCCCGATGTTGTATTTAACTCAGTGACACACTCTTTAAATTTTGTTTTCCCAGTAATCTCACCAATAGTTGTCCAAAGCCGCTTAGGATCATTTAAGTTATTATTCAATTTATTTAGGTAATGTTTTCGTTTGGTTTGCCTTGCAAGCTCTATAAATTTATTTTTATATTGGTTGTAGCAGTCGGTATTCTCTGTAGTTGGCGTTAGTTTCATTACATTATATAGTTTTTCTTTTTATATTGCCGATGTTATTAATCCTTTGGTAATCCAGGCATTTCTGCTTTTCCCTTTGTGACTAATTATTACTTTATTGGTACTAATATCTATTAGTTTTTTATTTTCTCTATGAACAGTCCCGTTGCTTTGTGTATATTATTTATAGAGTATAGTTGTTCCCAGGATTCTTGTTTGACATTTGATATTAGTTTTTAATTGTCGACAAAAAATTTGTAATTTTCCTGGTTGTTATTAACGGTAGGGATGTTAGAATGTTTTTCATTTGAAGATATCAGTAAAATAGTGGAGAAGTGGTCAGTAATATCGCTTTCTAGGATTATTGGTATACAAGTAATTTTGTTGGATAGGTCTTTCACAAAGCAGTGATCTATACATGTGCCACTGATGGACCTTGTAGGTAGGTTTATATAGGACAGAAATCCGTTACTTGATAGGATATCCAAGTATTCATGTGTGATGGGATCATCGTCCAAAATATTTATATTGACATCTCCCAAGAAAATATGTTGCTTTAAATGAACTTTATTTTGATTTTGAAAAAAAAATCGATATTCTTCAAAAACTCGTGGGGTTCTGAACATGGCGGACGATAAATTGCAGATACCTCAATTTTGTTATGGTTAATTTGGATCATTATGTTTAAAATTTTGATTCCATCGGTGAAAGTGAATGTATCATGATTATATTGCAGTTTATTTCTTACAAAAACTATCACTCCATCGTTTTGGTGCCAAAGTGCCAAAGTTATACAGCGTGTCATATCCCTGCTGATTGAAGCAAGAAATATCAACCACTTGCCACGTTTCAGTTAAAACTATTAGATCAAAATTGTACCATATTTGGTCGAGTAGTATTTTTAAGTAATCAATGTTGTGTTTTATACTCCTTATGTTCATATTAAAAATTCGAAATTTTGCATCAGAATTTTGTGAACATAAATTAAGTTCATCGACGTTTTGTGCCAGATTTGTTGCAATACTTGGAATTTGGAAACCATTAATGTATTTATTTACTGACATTTTTAGGTCCTCTTTAGAGAGTATCAAAAGATGAACTTGAATTTTAAAAAAGTATCCTTAAGTTTTGTTGTTCCTGATAATATTTGTACGATGGACAGTTTTTGTCGGTAGGTGCGTGGTTAATATTACAATTTTTTTATATCTTTCATTTCCATATCTACAGTTGCAGCATTCTATTGATTCATGCTTACAATTTTATCCTTCGTGACCGTTTACTAATGGTTTAAATCATACAAAAATGCGGAAATCGAATCGACAAAACAGTGTGAGAATACTGTAATATGCAGGGGACAAATCTTAACCAGATGCAGATGACCTAGTACAGTTAGCAAACATTAAACCTTGAGGTATGCAATGAGAAACATAACCTTAAAATAGATAAAACATGTATATGCGTTTCCAAAATCCCACAAAGCATGAAAATCGGATTAGAACAACAAATAGTGAAACGCTATCATAGTTGAAATATTTAGGAATAACCGTAAGAGACAATAGAAAACTGAGGCAGAAATAATAGAAGTTATACTTCCAACTAAATAAACGCCTAATAAAAAAATATCGGCAAAAACAAACCCAAAGATCTTCAACTAACTGTACATATCTACCCTAACCTATGGTTCAGAACTGTGGACATTAGAGAAAAGGCGGACAGAAACTACAGGTGACTGAAGATTAAACTACTAAGAAAGAGTGCGGGTCTAAACATTATGGACAAAGTGAGAGAGGTAGAACCAAGAACAAGATGAGATGTCTTATCTGTGGAAAAACGAATACAAATGAATGCGATATGGTGGTTGGGTCACATGTTTAGAATGTCAAATAAAGGCCAGGAGAATGAGAAAATTTAAAAAGAACACAAAAGGAAGACCAAGAAGGCAGTGGAATGACGAAATTCAGGGATAGCTAAGACGTGAACCTGCAGAAGGAAGAACAAAGTGAAGAAAGAAGATAAGAAAAATCCAAACTGTGAAAGAATAGACTGATACCAACCTCTACAAGTATAATGGAAATCTAATGTAAGTTCCAATGCTCTTGCTTCTAGATCCATCGAGACTTACCACTAACTGTGAGGTGGAACCAGGTTCCGTTCTTTCTCCAAGGTGGCGTCCGATTTGGAAATATGATGCTGCATTCATACCATCCAACGTCTGACTCTCTAATTGATGTCAAGTTGATTGAGGCTTTACCAATCTGCCTTTGTTGATCCCTACCAACCTGTTGAATGCGACCCACATACTCGTCTGCTTCTGTCACTGAACCATCTTGCCAGGAATATATCACTTCTCCCTAAACAGAAATTAATTTCACTTCCTGGTACAAGGCCTGTTTGTCGTGCGACTAGCATGTAACACTTCACGAAGCTTCTGATCCAGGAATGGATTTATTTTGAGGTATCTCAATAGAAATGTGTAGAACAGCAGAATCGGGGATAGTGTTTGCCAATTGGATTGCCAGCCTCTGACCAAAGGAATAGACGCTTTTTGATTTATATGAAATTACGACTAGTTTTTTTAATCAGGCTTATGGATCATCTAAACCAGCAATATTCGCTCAACAATATCTGACTAGAGCCCATCATGGTCCGGCTATATGTACAGGGCGACCCAAAAGTCTTGGAGCAAGCGGAGGGGAGTGTTAGAGGGCATTTGCAATCAGAAAAAACATATAGGGTGTTTTCAAAGTTGAGTCGTTTATTTTAACATCATGTAGGACTCGTCAAACGAAGTTGATATAGCAAGAATCATTGCATAATAAGAGAGTTGGTTTACATTATTAAAAAATATGGTGGAGCCCTATCATGTAGGAACCACATATTCTGTCTCACATTTAGAGGAACATCTAATAATTGTGGCAGATTACTACGCCATTTAAGAAAAAGGAACGTTCGTCGGAAAAGCAAGTGTTGTATAGAAAATGTTCATCGTCTATAATTCGTTCACTCATATCTTCGCAAAATTGTAATCGCCGATCAAAATCGTCTTCATTAAGTTCTTGTACAAGGTGAATTTTATACGGATGAAAATTGTGGGCCTTTAGAATCCGTTGGACAGTACGTCGACTAACACCACACACAGTCTCCAATTTGTGGGTACTTAACGTAGGATCTACATAAACTTGCCCTAAAACTCCCACTTCTATTGCTTCGTTCCTTGTGGGATTTTCAATGTTGCGTTTTTTATTGGCGACTGACCCAGTTTCCCGAAATTTAGCTACGAGTTCTAGAACATATTTTCGATGCACGTTACTGTTCTCATGTCCCTCATTAAATATTTCTACTGTTCTATTAGCGCACTGATTATTTCCGAAAAATATTTCGATCATTTCAACTCTTTCTGCTGTGGAATATACCTTGGTTAATTTATGTAATAAAGCGTTACAAGTTATTTTAGCAACAAAGTTTGGTCAAATCAATCGCAAACTAAGTACTAAATTCCTATTTAAAATGAGTACGAGATATTTCCTTATCTTTCTTCAAGAAATAACTTTTTTGACACAAAAAAAAACGCTCCAATAGCTATTTTCAACAACAAAATGATAAACAAACCAAGGACGTAGTGAAGAAAAGCATTTACTTATTAAGTAAATTCTTTTAGTCAAATTTCTTCAGAAAGTAGTACAAACTAATCTGATGTACCTATTAAAGTCTACTTTAAGCTTTAAATCAATAAATCTTCAACACTACTTAACCCACGTACATTAATTTTATATCATTATAAAGGGAATTCAAAGACCTTTAAAATAAGGTATCACTCGACCCCCCTTTCCATTTAAGATTATAGTGTTGGTGTCACCCCCGCCCAGGGGGCTGCACGTGCTAACGTGATTTTTTGCCAAACTTGTGTCCCCCTCGGAAACAAAATCGACGGGTCTGAGCGTTTTTCCAAAAAAAAAACTGAGCTGCCAGTAAATGCGTCTGTTTCGTTTTCGATGCGCCACCCTGTATAATGCAGTAAAATATCGCCCGCTTAGACGCGCCATTACGTAAGTATCAAATGATGATTTGTAAACAGTGTAATTTTAAACAATTGTCACAAAGAAGAACGTTTACGGTAGTGGCTATAGCGCTTAATTTTTAAACAGCCTATCCCATTTTCATTCCAACTGATTCTAGTATTCTTTCAGCATTGTAACTGTGATTTAGGTCATGGTTACAATTATGTTTGATTTAGATTGGATAAATGGTGAAATTTATGGAACAACTATTTGAACAGTTTCAATGAACCTGCAATGTTGTACATGGATAATCACTCAATTTGAAAACCAAATTTAGATGTTTTGATATATTGACCACACCAAAATTTGAATGGTCGGTAACTTGATCAACATACAGAAAAATGTTTATGTTTCAGAATATCCAAATTTTTGAAGCACTGTAAGAATATTCGTCCGTGTGTGTCTAGCTGCTCAAACCACATGTGCTTAAAAATTCTTCTTGTTCAGTACATGACACTTTTTGACAATATTTCATTTATCTGTCTTACAGGTGACATTTCCTTTATTTTTTTTTTCATTTTCACATTCCTACTCAGTGTGCTACTACAGTCGTCTGAAAAGTTCGTAGCGAACCGTCACATCAAGTTTTAAGATAGTGCCATCTTAATTGTAGTAACACATTGTATGGGAATGTGGAAATGAAAAGAAAAAATAATCGAAGTGTCACCTGGAAGACAGATAAGTAAAATATTGTGAAAAAGTTGTTATGAAGAAGGTCGCCGTTGAGACCGAAACGTATACAATAAAGGAGAATTTTAAGCACACGTGGTTTGATTGGCCAGATAAAGATGTACATGAAAACTCCGGGTTGAATTCATTACTGATGAGGTAGCCGAGGATCTGACAAACTCGGGCTGATGAAATGTTCTAATTTTGTTTTGTCTTTTTGCTATTGCTGCTATATCAACTCCAACATCAACCGATAGGTCTTACATCTCAGCTGCAAAGAAAGAAGTCTGTCGGGTACGCTGCGCGATATACCCTGCAATTTAGGAAAAAATGTTTTTCGTGAAAACCTGCAGAAGTGCGTCGATGTGCTTTTCATGGTTTAAAGTACATAACAAGAGCTATTATAATCAGTTATCAAAAGGTAGTTACAGTCTTAGGCCCGTATCGTCAGTCGTCCCTACAATTGTAGGGCGCGTGTATGGCCTCCTTGATTGTCATACTCCTTTCTCTCCTTCAAAAATTTCTAGATTACACTTGTCCCGTGTCAGCGTCAGCGCTCTCCTATTGTAAAGATATGTTTTCCTTTTAAATTGTAGGAAATTTCAGGCTGATAAAACATGATATAACTCAAAAGCAATCACAATTTGATGCAAATAGATTTTTGTGACATAACCTCAAAATAGAGCACTGACATGGAAAAATATAAAACTATGACAATCAAGGAGGCCATAAAGGCGCCCTACAATTGTAGGGACGACTGACGATACGGGCCTTACACCCCAGCTCCAAAGAAAGAAGTCTGTCGGGTACGGTGCGCGATGTTCTCTGCAATTTAGGAAAAATTTTTTTTCGTGAGAACCTGCAGAAGTGCGTCGATGTGCTTTTCAGTGTTCAAAGTAAATAAAAAGAGCTATTATAATGAGTTAACAAAACGTAGTTACAAAAGTTCTTACACCCCAGCTCCAAAGAAAGAAGTCTGTCAGGTACGATGAGCGATACTGCAATTTAGGAAAAATTTATTTTATTTATTTATCGCTCACCGTACCCGACAGGCAAATCCTACAGACAGAGCAACAGTCCAACCATCAGATCATGATTTAAACGAATTTCCTTACTACGTAAAGCGTTTGAAACAATATCAACTAAAAAGTTTCTTGTCACTGCTTCGGGTTAAATATTGGCTATTTAAGCTTTTCAAAAAATTAATCAGAAGCATCCGAAACATTCCTAAAACTGAGGACTGAGTTACTTATTCGCCTTTAAGGTGTCCTAATTCAATTATTTGACATCCGAAGGGCACTTTCCAGAATTCTAGATAAAAACAGCTTATTTTTTGTAAATTGCACTTTCAAAAATCATGTTTATCCAATATTCGACCAAATGACTTACCTGTTTTTTCCAGAAGATCTTGTATGGCACTGGATAATTCAATGGAAAATCAATATCGCAATTGAAAACGATATAATCTCCTACGGCCGCGGTCAAGTAGATGGGCTTATTATCATCTTCGTCGAAATAGTATCCTCTGGTCACCACAACACCAATCACAATCAATATCACAGATTTGTACATATTCTCCATATTAGTAAATTCTGAGAAGGAAATATCAACATTCTAAAGAGTTTATGGTTTAAACGTTTTAGCGCGCATTGAGGTTTTGTGATAATTATAACCAAAACTAATGTCCTTTATCTCCTCGGTTTGTCTGTCTGTCAGTGTGTTGGTGGTTTTTCAATGCTTCCCAGCGGCACTGATATTTTTGCCATAGATATTTTGAATCAGTTTTGGGTGTCTAAAATACATCTTATTTTTATTATTTTCGAGTATAGTTAAAAAATGGGTCAAAAAACGGGAAAATGCTCCAAAAAAAGTGGTCACTTCAATTTCGTAGTTATGGGACTCGATATACCGGTAGAAAATAGCAACATTTGATCATTGTAGCAGGAAATCAAAATATGTATAACGAAGATCAAAGCATACTAAGTGACATATAAATCCGAACACCCAGTTTAAATAGTTTTATTTTAATAAAAGTTGGTGAATATATTTACCTTACTGTAAATAACAAGTGAAAAAATTTTCAGACTTATCAGTTGGACATTCCGGTTTTTATACTGCTTTTTTTTAATTCACTAACGCTCTAAAGCGGCAGTAAAGAATCAACGTTGGCGGATTTTGGTTCTTGACATCCTTTACGATCGGTTACGATGCCTAGAGTACGGAGACCTGTACGATTTCGTCAACTTAGTGAGTTTGATAGGGGCCGTATAGTGGGACTTCGGGAAGCTGGACTTTCTTTTCGGGCAATTGCAGTTAGAGTGCAAAGAAGTGTAGACACTGTGGTTAGGTGTTGTCAGGCATGGCTTCGAGAAGGTCGTACGCAAAGGGCAAGGGGCACTGGACGCCGCCATAGAACAACAGACCGTGAAGATCGCCGCCTAAGATTATTGGCCTTAAGGGACCGTTTCTCCACTACCAGGTCCATTGCAAATGAATGGTTTGCAGAACACGGAAGACCTATTGGCATGCGAAGTGTTTACCGACGAATGAGAAGTTTTGGCTTGTTTTCATACCGGCCACACTGGGTCCTCCATTTAACTCGAGAACACCGAGGTAATTGCCTTGAGTGGTGCAGACAACGGTCACTCTGGGATCAGGAATGGAACAGTATTGTCTTTAGTGACGAGTCTCGATTTTGTTTAGCCATGCACGATGGTCGTGCCATGATTAGAAGGCGACGTGGTGAAAGGAGGAATCTACAGTTTTTTGTTGAAAGACATGTTCATCACACTGTTGGAGTTATGGTTTGGGGTGCTATAGCTTATGGTTCCAGGTCACCTTTAATCTTCATCAGAGGTAACATGAATGCGCAGCGTTATATCCACGAAGTTCTAGAACCCCATCTTTTACCCTATCTTGACACCCTGCCAACTTTCCAACTAGATAATGCCCGACCACATGTTGCAAGAGTCACAATAGACTTCTTTAAACATAATGATGTCACATTGTTACCATGGCCACCAAGATCTCCCGACTTATCCCCAATTGAGCACGTGTGGGATATGATGGGTAGGAGATTGCTCAATTTGCAACGTCCTCCTCGGACTCTAGAAGCACTTTGAGAGGAGTTGGTGGTTGCCTGGAATGAGATACTACAGGAGGACATTGACCACCTGATCAGAAGCATGCCTAGGCGCGTTGGAGAATGCGTAACACATCAGGGTGCATCCACACATTATTAAAGGTCAAAGGGCTTTAAAGCAGTGCAATCATTTTGAAATTTTTATCATTGACTTATTATGCTTCATTAAGTATTTATACAAAATTTTATTAAAATAAATCCATTTAAACTGGGTGTTCGGATTTACTTAGTATATTTCTGAAATATGAAGCAGTTGTTTGCCGATACAGGCAATGCAAAAAATTGAGATCCACCTACTCAGTTTACATGGCATTGTATTCAGAAAAGGACAATCTTTTATAAATTCATGTTAGTAGTTTATATATCTACATCAAATTGACACTGACCTTATGGACCCAATGCACATATCTTTAAAGGTTCTAACTAATATACTCAGTAAGAAAGAAACTTGGATAGAATTAAATATCCCGATTTAAATTGCATGTCATTAAAACGTAAGATTGAGTATTTGCTGTTTTGCCATTTTTATATCTTATTTTCTGTCAATGGGAATGGATAGCATGATGTACATTTGGAAGACAGATTGATGAGACGGAGATGATGAGCACCTTTGAACTATACAAAGTGTGAGAGATAGAGAGTTTGGGTCTGCTTTACTAAAAATTTATTTTAGTGAACGGAATGAATGTGTAAAAGTATATAGCACAACAAGTAGCCTTCGTCACGTAACATATGGCATCACACAGAACAGTGTTGGAGCCCATTCTGTTCAATCTCTATAAGAATGACTTGTTTCCTTTAGAGACCCAAGGAGAAATTGTTGGCTTTGCAGATAGTATGGCTGTATTTTATAACGATAAAAACTTGGTAAGAAATTTAATTGAAGATGATTTTGGAAGTATTCACAGATTTTTTCAATCGTAGTAGTTTAACCATCAATCTGGAAAAAGCACAATTATAGCCTTTTCTTGAAATGGAAGATCTCCCCACATTTAACTATTGACAAGTATCTTAACCGGGACCAACATATTGAAAGTTTGGCAAATGTTCCAAAATTTAGATATTTTGAAAGGAATACTCACTCTATATAGCGCGTTGGTACGACCACTCTTTTCATATGGATTATTAGCAGAGGGATCAGTTTCAAACTTATAAGAAAATTAAGTGCATCTAAAAACGCATCATTCCATAAGCTTTTTACATAAAATCATCTGTATAGAGTCACACTTTATTGTGAAAAACTAATAATGTATTATATACAGAAAAAGAACACATTCTGAGGCCAGTTAAACACGATTTGCTAAAAAAATGGCAAATAAGCTTTGCTTTTATCGTCCAAATTTGCATAATAGAGTGCATGTAAACTTAAAAAAATGAGAATTAAATCAGCTTAGACTTTCGATTCATCAGATGCTAGATATCAAAATATTCATTATCTTGAATGGTAATTGAAAAAGACTTCTTCATGATTTACTTATTGATTTATAATATTGATGATCTAAATTAATTTAAATGTATTTTTTTTAATTTTTGACTACTCACTTAAAATTGTACATGTAACCGATTTTGACCGTAAATTTTGAGAACAATCCCGATACTGTCAAAGCTGTCCAGATATGTTTGTTAATCTTATTATATATACTATTCAGGTATAAGGCCTTGTACCCAAGTTATTCAACTTTTTATATTATTATTTGTGTATTGTTTGACAATAGACATTATTATTATAATCGTTATTATTATTATCATTGTTATTATTATTTATTAAAAGTTCCTAAATCTTTATTTCTGATTTGGTAAAATATCATTGTAAACTACGTCATCATATACTCTTTGACAAAAAATTAGAGGACCCCAGTAAAAAAATTCTGATTCAAATTAAATGTATCCAGTTAGATATGAACAAGAGGAAGATGTGATTATACTTTGAAGTGAAAACATTTACGGTATCGCCAAGTTTAACTGAAAATGTATTGGGTCACCTGGGTGCCGCATACATTCGTCCAGTCGCACAGTAGTCCATCCATACCAAAACCCAGCAAAAATTGAAGAAGACAAAGTATCGATCACAAGTAAGAGATTATGAACTTTCATTTGATGTGACAGAAATTTCCCATTCTCGTTGTTTTCATGTACAGCGGAATTGAAATAAATTATGTTTGTGAAGTTCTGCTAACCAGTTTTCACTAACATTTGTAAAGTATTGAGAAATGTAGCCATACATTTTGTCATATTATGACGGCTGGTCATCAACGGTTATACAACTTTTTGTCTTTTGAATTGCCTTCGTAGAGACAAACTGATCTCTGATTTGGAATCATCGACTGCGAAAATCTACATCATACGCGTCTGGACTCAAATGCTGGACTTATTTTGAATTTGTCTTTGAAGTAACCTTGACATGACCTTCAGATGCCCTTATAGTAATTAATTCACTTCTAATTCGAACTAATGTGCAAGTAGATGTCTTATGGGGATTCGGTCTCAAAACTTCCAAAATCCGCCACCAGAGGCGCTGGCGTCGCGCGCCATTGACAGGTTGTTGGACGGAATCTGTAATCGAAATTCATGAGTTGGGGATTCCGCCGCTAGATGGCGCTGTCAAACCAAACGGAATCTGTGTGTCATTGGACACCTGTCATGCGTCATTGGGCATCTCACGCATAGATGGCGTTAAAACGTCATCTGTCATACGTCATTGGACACCTGTCATTGATGGGTTGGGCATCTCGCGCATAGATGGCGCCGATTTGTTTGGCGCTGTACAAACCTAACGGAATCTATGCGTCATTGGACAGCTGCCATTGATGGGTTGGGCATCTCGCGCATAGATGGCGCCGATGTCGCACCTGTCTGGTGTTGGCGTGGATTACGGGGGGCAACGTGTATACAGGGGTGCATCGAAAAATAGCGGATCGATGGACCGACGGTATATCGTTAAATCGTATATAGCAAGGCGTGACCTAAATAGCGTGGTGGGCTCCTCTGGTCGGTCGGTCGGTCGGTCAGAATGTCTCATAACCTGTATACGATGTACTGTTATTATTATACAGGATGATACCGTTCAAAATGAAAATAGTATAATGGATATTTTATTGAAACATATAGTATATATAACAATAAGGTTGATTGGTGTGTGTGTGTGTGCCATGTTTTGAATACCCGCGCTTGAACAACTTGCAACAAGAAATTCCGACAATATTATTTCGCAAACCAGAGGTATTTTCAATAAAACTACATATCAGGGAGTACTTTAGATGTTGATACTAATCGACTCAAATCATTGTTCGACAACTGATTTGGTTCATGACAGACAAGAATCAAATTATGTATTTCACGGTTCAGTTCTGGTTGTTTTTTAATTTTTTCCCTAAACTTCAGGTAACCCAGGAAATATGTCTCTTATCCGTCCTCTGTTCAACACATCAGTAAAATCGTTAGAAAATTCTATATATGACATATTATTATAAAAGGTATAGGACCGTCCTGCGTTTGATTGAAAAATAGCATTGATTCGAGCCCTATCGGGTATATCAATTGAAAAATTATCAAGAAATTTAATGGTAGGGAATGATGCTGAGAAATAGTTGTTTGGAGACACAATGGTAATCAAGTCACCGTTTGTTGATTGGAAAATATGTTGTAAAGTGTATTGACGTAATTCTGTAGGAACATAATCGACAAGAAGTTCAGGCTGAGATGGGATAATCATTTCGTTTAAGTCTAGTTTCCATATAAACATATCATGTGCAATATATAATCGGTAATTTGAAAACTCTGGAGCAATAGCTAAAAACATAAAATCTGGAATAATATCACACAAATTTTTGAGGATCGGCTGCTTACGAGTTGTAGATCTTATAGTTGTTGTTGTTTTTGGTATTGCTGATGCGGTGGTAGACGTTGGGATTGAATCATATTTGTTTTTTCTTCCATATAGATATTGTACTGCATTTATATCATCAACATCTAGACCACGAATCTCATGCTGATAGAAGGCAAACATAATAGCATTCGGAGAAGCACTATGTGCTATGCCGAGAGCATGTCCAATTTCATGAACCAACACCTGATAGAGAATGATGTCAAAAATCTCAGATAGCAAATATAAATTCGTTTACCCCCCAATCAAAATCTTGACTGAAAAAAAATTAGGCAGCAAATATACAATAATCATACACGAATTTACTATATTTCTAAATTTCTACTCTCATGTGCAACTTGTAATTGGAATTTCCGCCGGACAAACGATACATTCATGTATTACTAAGAAATTATATAAAAAATACTGCAACCGCAATGAATGTTGTTTTCTCGATAAAAATGGTACTGAGAATATGATGCATATAATATGCATATTTACGATACAATTATCTCATGCACGCGTGTGTTATCTCAACCACGTATTTATATTTAGCGAGCGCATGCAATAGTCATCATTGTTTCACACTTAACGCACAACGCTGCAAGCTGGAACAACGGCCGCAGTACAATAGTGCTTCGAGAGAGACGAGATAGCGAAAATTTTAAAAAAAGTAAGTGCTATTTTATTTAATATTTTTCTTTTTTATGTCTCTAAGTGCAACTGTTTTTTCGTGTTATGCTTCAAAATAGTTAGACGACTCAATTTTTTTATAGATGGATTTATCAAAAATTAATGCTGCGTCTTCGATTGTAGACCGCAAACCTATCAGAAAATTAAAGGACCTACCAGTCGGGACACCATTTGCAATCCAAGCAGCTAAAGTGGTCAAGTCGAAATTTGGGGAAGCCGTGCTACTAGATTTAGGACCGGAAGTGCTATTTCTACCACAGCGGGTGACGGAAACGTACCAGCCGGTCATCGACGAACTTTTTCACGGAAAATACTCGATCATCTTCCAAGGGGAAGTGGACGTAGGGAAAAGCCGACCGCTAGCATCATTCAAAATAGTGGAAAATTAACAAAGCAGAGAACAGGAGGAGGAGGACAGGGTGAGCATTTTTATATATTTTTGAGTAATGTGTTTGCTTGAAAAAAAAAATGTCGTCTTTTCAAATGTCTTCAAATAAGGTTAAAAAGATCATCAAACAAACAGACGGTGTTCTACTATCAATTGTTAGTCTACGGAAAATTTTATTTGATAATTTTACAATCAGAGACGCGGAAGTGTGGCTGAAACGAATAGAAAAACAAATTAGATTATGTAAACGGGTAATTCGTAGTAGAAGGCAAAATAAATTATCTGTAGGGACCTGTAGAAAAGTAGAAACAAATTTGGGGCATTTTAAACATTTTAGAAAGTTGATTTTAACTAGACATATTGGGGCAGGACTTCACTTAACATTGGGTCAGAGGGTTAGATGGGAAAATGTAGAATCGAGCTTTCAAAGTAGAATAAAAACCGGTTCCATAGCTAATTTGCGTCATAAGGACTTGAATCAATTTTTAGCAGATTGTGTAGTTGTTTTTAAAAGGAAAATTAGGAATATTTTGAACACCCATTGTGCGCTCAAAGTAAATACAACATTTTGCGGGGAGTTTATTAGGAAATCGGGGGATAATGAAATTTTGGGAATTAAATATATTAATACTAAAAATCATATTATTGATACATCAACTCAAATAGACGAGTGGTTTAAGATATATGTGAAAGATAAACTTTTAAACGAATTATCGGAATTTGCTGAAAAAGATTCGGGATTTGCGTTAAATAAAATTATTTCCTTAGTTGTTAATATCAGTAAATATCAATTGGGAAACGGTTCATCTTATATTAGACTACCAGAACCGATTATAAGGAAAAATGCTTGTATAAACATTAAAAATATAGATCAAAATTGCTTTTACTGGGCCATTGTAAGCGCTCTTCGGACTCCTAGCAATAAAAGACATGCAGAACTAACCTCCTCATATCCACACTTTACTGACGTTTTACAAACAGAAAATTTAGATAGTCCTATGCTGCTAACAAAAATTTCAAAATTTGAAAAGATGAATAACATTTCAGTCAATGTTTACGCTTTAGAATTGATCGAAACAGAAAAAAAATCATTTTACATAGTAGTACCAGCAAGATTAACGGAAAATAAACGGGATACGCATGTTAATTTACTTTTAGCTCAAAATAAATATTATCCGCGTTTAAATGATTATGATGCTCCTCCACCAGCGCCAGCAAATGAAGATAATGATTCAATCGATGAAATTAAATATCACTATTGTTGGATTAAAAATCTTTCGCGTCTTATTAGTAGCCAGTTAAATAAACATCGTGAGAAAAAATTTATTTGCGATAGATGTCTGAACTATTTCCATCAGCAAAATAAATTAGTTGAACATGAAAAACTGTGTTCTAAATTTAATAAATATAAAATTAACCTTCCTAAAGAGAGCTGCGTTGAATTTAAAAACTTTACATACCAACAAAATACTCCTTTTGTTGTTTATGCAGATTTTGAATGTCAATTAGAAAATCATAAAGAAAGTAGCGTCGTAAATTTAACTAAAACCATAAAATATCAAAAACACGTTCCGTATAGTGCTGGTTTCTATGTAAAATGCAGCTATGATGATAGCCTTTCTTATTTCGAGAGCTTTCGAGGTGCAGATTGTATGGATTGGTTTGCAAATCGTATGGCTGGTGTTGCGCAATTTGTAAACTCAAAAATAAAAACAAGCGTACCTATGATTGAAAAATTAGACACATGTAAGGCAACATCATGTCATATTTGCGGTAAGAGATTTTCAAAAACAAAAAAAGACATAATCGTTAGAGATCACAACCATTTCAGTGGAGAGTTCAGAGGTTACGCACACCAAGCATGCAATCTGAACTTTAGAAAATTGTTTGTTGTGCCGGTTATATTCCATAATTTAAGTGGGTACGATAGTCACTTTATGATTTCGAATTTATGTAAAAAAGGTCGCTTAAGTCTACTTCCCATCAACAAAGATAAATACATCTCCTTTACGCTGCACTCAGATGAAAATAACATTAAATTGCGGTTTATAGACTCTTTTCGATTTATGGGGGCGTCTCTT